GAATTGAGAGGACATTGATATTTATAGTGACACATCTTAAACTCAATCTCTGAAGCATACAGTCAACCTCTCCAGATAAACAATTGCTGTTACTCTTGAATCTGAGCTCTGTGAGCAACGACTTTCAGGGTTATGTTACCTGAAACATAAACTTGGCTTCAGCCAAGATTGTGCACCTTCAGTTTAAGCCATTAGAAACCAGTGTGTAGGGGAGTTCAGGACCAACAGGTGTCACAGTGGAGGAAGAATGCATAGTACAGAGATGAGGTTGGTGAGTAGGGGGACTATATATCTCTGTGGTTTCTTTTCTGAAGTCTACTAGCTGAACTTTGCCTGCTGTGAATAATGTTTCCATGCTCAAGCAAAGAAAGAATCTTCGTTAATTCTTCACATGTTTCTAGTTTCTTGTTTATTTTATTATTTCTATTTACTTTTTATAGTTTATTTGTTTAAGAAAATCATGTAGTAAATTCTGACCATTGATTCCCCTCCACCAAGTTCTCCAGGTTCCTTCCTACATCCTTACCTTCCCAACTCTACTCACTTTCCTTCTCTCTGAAGAAATCAAAGAAATAGGAAAATAAGAACTTAAAAAAGGCATTAAAGCAACTGCAATCAAACTATCAAGAGACACACATACAAACCTCATAATAATACAATTCTGGAATTATGAAACACAGGCAATAGACCAATAATACTAAAAAAATCAACAAACAAACAAAATGGTATGTGATAAAATATCTACAAAAATGTCACTGAGGTAATTCTGTGTTGGTTTTCTACTGCTGATCATGTGTCTATTCTTTTTATTTATTTATTCATTTACTTATAAAAAATTTTCACTTCCTCCCCTCCTCATCTTAAGTGTGGTTAATATGCCGAATGATACTCCATTGTAGAATACAAATATTTCCTTTGCAGTATTAGATCATTTCCAAAAACTGTTTTGTTTGGGGTGAGTGTCTGAGTCCATATCCCTCTCTCAACACAGGGATCCCATCTGCTTGATTTTTTCAGGCTCTGTGCATTCTGTCATAGTCTCTTTGAGTTCAAAAGAACATCTATCAGTCCCGTTATGTCAGGAAGACCCTTTTTACTTAGAGTCGTCTACCTTTCTGGCTCTTACAATTTGTTGAGATATTAAATTTCATCTCAGTAATAAGGTCAAACTATGGATTTTTTTCTGATCAACCAGGAGCCCTACCAATACTTCACAGTGTTTTCAGTGTCCTGTGAGGGGTCTTCCATAAATTTTAGGAGATTTTCCTGTGCCTGGTACTGAGGTATACAATTAATAACTACTGTCTTTGGAGAGAAGTACTGTCCCTCATGAGGATACCTGTGTTCAAAGACTAACACGCTAAAACAAAATACAAAACTCACGCATGTGATTTTTACTCAGTTTTCTGCAAGCATAAATGTCCCTAAACCATAGAGCATGATCAGAAACAGACAAGACTTATTACTAAACTGCAAGTCTTAACTAGATGTCTCTAATTTTGTATACAACTTTCTTAAATTTATTTTTTGATAAAATATTGAATCAGTAAATACATAAAACCAAATAATTATCTTAACACAAAATTATTCTAACAACTCAAATAAAATACCAAATCTAAATCTAGATATCTATGAACTGTTTGTTGTTTCCAAACATTTTGTTATAGAAAAACATTGTAATTCAGTGCATCTACACAGTCCTTTGCTCCCAATCACCTGGGCGTTTTGCCTCCCCACATTCATTCTATAACCTCTATAGTTTTAATTTTACTTACACTTCAAGACCCTTGAGTTAAAATTAGCTTTTTTTAATAATACTTAATTTTAGTTTACCCTACAGAAACTCCTTTATTCACTATTCAGCATCATATCATGTTTCAAAGTTCCTGTCTCTTGTTTTCTCCATCTGCTTTCGTTAATCTGTATTTTCCTCTATCCTCCACCTTAATTCCACAGATCATAAGGGCCCATTTCTACTCTCTTGGTTTCTCCAAATTAAGCCCACAAAACATAATATTCAAGTCTAAGAACCAGTTATGAGAAAAAAATATGAACCATTTATCTTTTTAGCTCTGGGTATCCACACTCATCATATGTTTTCTTGTTTCATCCAATTACCCATAGATTTGATCATTCATGCTTTAGTAGTGACTAATATCCCATTGTCTTAGTGTTATACATTTTTGTTTTCTATTCATTCTTTGTTGGAAAATAGGATGATTCCATATCCCAGATGCCGTGAATTGACAATCAATGAACATGAGTGTGTGAGAGTCTATTTAAGATGTAGGATTATTGAATGCATGCTTAAAGAACTCATGCATTGGGCTCAGTATAGTTTTATTTATTAATTTTTAGTGGAAATACAAAACTTATTTTCAAAGTCACTACACTAGTTTATATTCCCATTCTGGGTGAGTAAAAATTACCCTCTTCCTGCATCCATGCCTGCATTTGCTGCAATTTTTTCTTATGATCATTTTTATTGAGATAAAAATATAGCAATGAAGTTGTTTTAATGTGCATTTCACTGTTAAGTAAAGAGTTATTTGCAGAACATAGAGAAATCAACTTTGACCTGAACAGGCAACTCTCCCTGCAGACTCAGTTTCCTAGTGCAGGACAATGTTATGCAACCTGAAGTGAGATGAAATATTTCAATGATATATTGAAATGATATATCAGACCTAATAGACCACAATATCAACCATCCAAGGAGATATACCCACTATTACCTGCCTTTTATGTACTGACCATATGCTTTCTAACTCTATTCGTGACTTGTGACATAGGAAATATTTAACCCAATAAGCATATTCAAAAATCCATGACTAGGGATAACATAGCCTTAGTAACTGTCGTTGTGTTGCTAATGGTAATATTGTGAAACTGTCTCATAAATACTTATGTTTACAGCCAATAGAGTATTGTTGCTCTTAGCCTTGATCACAGAAGCTTTTGTGTGCTGTGTAATGATTAATGCAGATGTTCATGACTGGCCAAAATGATGAGCATGAATGACTGTGTCATTCAACCACAAAAGAAACATCTGTATCAACCTCTCATTCAGAGATCAAGGACCATTACAAAAGAGGGACTGATAAGAATGTAATACTCAGAATACAAGGTGGATAGACAAGGAAAACTACCTTCAGGGCTTGAAATGGTGATTGTACACATGTAGTCACAGCAGTTTTAGTTTCCAACAAACATTGAAAAAAATCCAGTCATTCAAGATAACAGCATGAGAACCTATGAAATATCAACAGGTAAAGGAGCTTACTGGCAAGCTTAGCGATATCAGTTCAATCCCTTGGCACCACATGGTAGAATACAAGAATTGAATTTTATAAGTTGTCCTGTGATGATCACAAATACCACTGTGATCATGAATACCCTCATATGACCACTAAAGATAGGATAATACTTAATAAACACTACAACACAGATGGGGAAGGACTCCTGAGGACTCAAACCAAGCTTTGCAATTATTGCCATTTGGTACCTGATGATTAAAATATAATCATTTTCTTTGGAATATTTCTGGAGTTCTCTATCTACTAGTGAATGACACACTTATGTGCATATAGATAATACTAACTGTATTCATTGTGTGAGGGTCATAATGTCTGTGTTTCAGAGATATTTTTAAATAATATGGTTATCTCCATTTGCATCTGTTTTCCTAATAGTTTCCTTATTCCTTCCAGATGAAAAGTTTCTACTGTGTTGTGAATATAACAATTTCATCCTGATACAGTCATGTTGACAGACATGATAATTTTCATAGTTTAGTTATTGTATATTGCTGCAGTGAACATTGATTTCTGAATATTTTAACAATAATATTTAAAATAATATAAAATAATAAAAATAACAACATTTCTCAAGTACATTTACTTTTGGTCATTTCAGTCAGTTTTAAGTATAAGACCAGTTGTGAAGGAAAATGTTATTAGTATTGAAAGGAGGTTGCAAATTCTTATAATTAGCAGGTTTTGAAATTTTCAGTCACCACCATTATGATCACAAACACCTGCTATAAATCCATGTGAATACCTGTCACAAAATGGAGCAACTACCTCAGGACAGAAATCAATTGAAAACTTAAGCCCTGATATTACACCCAGAGGGGCTGCCCACGACTTAGGAAAGGTGTATAAGATGCATTTCCTCAGAGGGATTATTACATGGAGCTCTACATACTGCTGTCTGACTCACATCTCCTCTACCTCCTTTTTTTTATTAAATTATAAAAGTTTCCATTTCAGCCCCTCCTCCCAACACCCTCCCACTCCCCCCACTCCCTCTCCTCCACCCTCTCCACCCCTCAGAGCAGTTAGGGTCTCCCACCCTGTGGGAAGTTCAAGCTCCTCCCCCCCTCCCTCCAGGTCCAGGGAAGGTGAGAATCCAAACAGACTGGAGAGCCAAAATCCAGTATATGCAGAGGAAGCAAGTCCCAGTGTCATTGTCAATGGCCTTTCAAAAAGGCTCCGGGCCAGCCACATTCAGAGAATCTGGTTGGATCACGTCCTCGTTCAGTCCCAGTCCAACAGGCCTTGGTGAACTCTCATTATATCAGTCCCCTTGTATCAGTGGGTGCTCGCATCCCTCGCAGTCCTGATTTCTTTTTTTATTTTCTTCATCCTTCTGCTCCTCATTTGGACCGTGGAGTGCTCAGTTCGGTGTTCCAATATGGGTCTCCATCTGTATCGCCATCCAACGTCGGATGAAGGTTTCCGGTGCCCTTGCCTTCTTTGCTCACGTTCTCTTTCCTTCTGCCTCCCATTTGGACCTAGGGAGCTAGGTCCAGTGTTCCAACGTGGTTCTCTGCCTCCATCTCCATCCATCGCCAGATGAGGGTTCTATGGTGACATGCAAAATATTCATCAGTATGGTCCTTCTCTAAACATTTCCCTACTCATGAATATGCAAATTACTAGAGTCTACTGTGGTAAATACACTGATGTTTACAGGCCAGGACAATATATGGTCAGTATCTTTTGAACAGTCACTGAACACACAAAGTCCTCACCATGAATTGGAGCTGGATTATTCTTTTTCTTATATCAGTAACTACAGGTAACAGCCTTTCAAAGTTCAAAATCCTAATAAGGAACAGTATTCAGGTAACAATGATACCTACTCTGTCTTTGTCACTGCAGGGGTTGAATCCCAGGTCCAGCTGCTGCTGTCTGGAGCTGAGCTAGGGAAACCAAGGTTCTCAGTGAAGCTGTCCTGCAAGGCTTCAGGCTACACCTTCACTGACTATACTGTGAACTGGGTGAAGCAGAGGCCTGGTCAGGGACTGGAGTGGATTGGAAGAATTTATCCTGTAAGTGGTAATACTGACTATGCTCAGAAGTTCCAGAGCAAGGCCACACTCTCTGTAGACAAATCCTCCAGCACAGCCTATATGAAGCTCAGCAGCCTAACATCTGAGGACTCTGCAGTCTATTTCTGTGCAAGATACAGTGTTGCAACCACATCCTGAGTGAGTCAGAAACCCTGGAGAAGCAGGAAGTTGCACTGGGACTGAAATGACAGAGAAGATTGGCTTGAAGACTTTCACAAAAATAATTATCCTGAGTATCTTTTTGTCTGTCAATTCACACAGTCCCCCAGGATCTTTACGCCCTAGTACTCATCATAACTTGGCAATATGTTTACCACTAACTGTCTATATTACTACATTTCTTCCCTAATGAAATACTAAAAACTGAAAACTGTGATTATGCATTATGATATAAATCTCTGGATTCTAAGAGGGTGGGACTTTTTGAAGTAGCTTTTAATAAAATAAAAAATAATATGGACAGTAAGTGTAAAAATTAACATCAGTTTAAATGAAAATCTTTTTATAGTCTTAAATGTCACATATCCTCTCCAGTGTTGAGCTAACTCTGACTTTATGGTCCATCATAAGTTCCAGTCTTTTAGAATATGATATACATATCAATATGCCCTGCCACACAAGTATAATTCCTCTAATATGGTCAAGAGTATTTTGAATTACTTTTCACGAAAATCATTAATCAAATCAATATATTACATGTTAATTGATGTAGGTTCTGAGATCACATTATTCTTTTGTCCCATACTTACTTTCTTCCCAGAATCTGAAAGCTGTCCCACTCTCTTAAGCCTTTACAGAACAAGGATCTATGGATCATTAGCTTTCACAAACCATTGGATACTTGATGGCTATCTTTATTCTACAGAGATTTTGGATTTTTGCCTGGTAGAGTACATGTAGTCACCATCCATTAACAACACTAAAGATCTCTGAGTTTCACAGAAATCTAAAAATCAACAAATGCACAGCTCACCACACATCATCGAAACATCTGCTCAATATCACCATAGACAATAAAGACAATGTGAGAGCCATAGTTGCCACATTGTGAACCCATAGGCAAAATTATACTTTTGGGTTCTTCAAATTTTCAGGTGACACTGTAGATCCACCTATTCCTAAGAAGAAAATGCCAACATAAGCTTAGATAAAAGACAAAACTTGCTCAGCCTAGATATGGGGGGAAGTCCTTGGTCCTAACTCAAAATGATTTGTCAGTCTTTGTTGATTACCTATAGAAAGCCTTACACTCTGAGGAGTGGATGGGGAATGGGACAGACATAAGGTAGAGGAAACAGAAGGAGGGAAGGAGAAGGAACTGGGATTGGTACACAAAGTGAGAAAAGATTGTTTTTAAAAATAAATCAATAAGAAAAGTGTGCACAGAGATGATTAGTGTTCTAGTGTCTGATGAGGGTAGATGTTCAATGCACCTTCTCAGTATCACCTTTATGGTTGATTCTGATGAGGATCAGCTGGCGCATGAACTATTGACATGTGAGTCACAGGATTAACAATCCTGGATATATCGACATTGTTCTCAATATGTGGAAGAGCTCTTTCGGCACTGGTGCCTGTATCGAACTGAGAATGCATTTCCCCAGGAAGATTTAGAACTTGGAACTCACCACCCACTGACTAACACCGGGAAATTTTTCCTGGTTTGTCTCAAACAGATTACTCTTTTGATCTAAAGAATGTTCCTCATTGATGTGCAAATTGCAGAGATAATGTTTGTATAGGTAGTGATGTTCACCTACTCCGCAGCACCACATCTGTACTCTCTTCTTCACTGTCCCTGAGAACACAGGTTCTCAGCATAAACTGTGGTTGGATCATATCTATCTGGTAGCAGGTAAATTCTTAGATCCAGTCTTGAACCAGAAGTCAGAGACAAGAGCATACTTTCCAAAAGTGTTTATACCCGGGTTTGGTTACAGGAATTTGGGACTGAACTTAGGATCCTTGGATGTGCAGAAAATGCTCTGCAGGGATTTTTAACTCATAGTGTTTCTTCACATACAGTGAGAATGTCTGTTAATATGGTTGCAAGATTAACTCAGAGATGGCTGCTAGAGAATTCTTTTTTTTTAAAGTAATTTTATTAAATTATAAAAGTTTCCATTTATGCCCCTCTTCCCAACACCCTCCCCCCCCCCCCCCCCCCCGCGGTCTCCTCCTCCCTCTTTGTCCCTAAGGGCAGTCAGGGTTTCCTGCCCTGTGAGAAGTTCAAGTTCCTCCTCCCTCCCTCCAGATCCAGGAAGGTGAGTATCCAGTATATGCAGAGGAAACAAGTCCCAGTGTCATTGTCAATGGCTTCTCAGAAAGACTCCAGGCCAGCCACATTCAGAGAATCCGGCCACATTCAGAGAATCTGGTTGGATCACGTGCTCGTTCAGTCGCAGTCCAACTGGCCTTGGTAAACTCTCATTAGATCCGACCCCTTGTATCAGTGACTGCTAGAGAATTCTACTAAAAGAGTCTTGACATTTTATACTGGATGTAAGAGGATTTAGACTAAGCATGTGATGTTAACCATGGAGTGAATATAAATAAAGATGTGAATATTGAAGAAATGTGTCATCACCAATGGGGACCTCTCATGATACCAGAGATCGTATTGACTCCATTCTGGTCTATCCTCTGTGATGACACTAGTCTTCTCAAGGACACCTTCCTCTGTGATTTCAGAACAGGCTTCATTTTCACTAGAGTAATGTAGGGTATTTCTTTACTTGTTGATTCTTAGTTTTAAAACAAGTCATTTTTGCAAATCTTATGTATTAGCAAAGCATATCTTCTTGTTTTCTTGTTTGAGCTAAGAATTTGAACAAAGGACAGTATTTCTATTCTATTCTCCATGTTTTCTTGGAACCACAAAATTTCTGAAAAATCTATCTGCTTTTTGCAGATCAACATGACATCTCGTTTTTATGTATTTTTACATACAATTGCACATTGAATTCGTAGATTTAGCCTTTAATGCTTGTCAGTGATCTAATTTTCTCACCAGCCATTCTATCCATATAAGATGGATGATATGAGCCCAAGTCTAATAAAGCAGCCAAAAATTCTCTTTGACTTTCCAGTCTGTCTGTTCCAAGAGTGGTAATTCTGGATGCTGATTAATAATATTTTCCCAGATAAATGAGGAGCAGAGTTTGTCTGTAACTTTTCCTGGAGTTGATATACAGGATGAACGTCTCAGACACATCCTGAAACACATATTTTTGAGCTTGATAAATGAAATCAGAGACCCAAATTGGAGCCCTGGACTGAACCGCCAAGGTCCAAATGAGGAGCAGAAGGAGGAAGAATATGAAAAAGGAAGTCAGTACCGCGAGGCTTGCGTTGACCCACTGATACAAGGGGACTGATCTCATGAGTGCTCACCAAGGCCAGCTGGACTTGGACTGAACGAGCATGTGATCAAAACTGGATTCTCTGAATGTGGCTGACATGGGGGCTGACTGAGAAGCCATTGACAATGGCACTGGGTCTTGTTTCATCTGCATGTACTGGCTATTTGGGATCCTAGTCTGTTTGGAAGCTCACCTTCCTAGATCTGTAAGGAGGGGGGAGGAACTTGAACTTCCCACAGGGCAGGAAACCCTGACTTCTCTTAGGACTGGAGAGGAGGAGGACAGGAAGTGGGGGGAATGGGAGGGTATTGGAAGGAGGGGAGAAAGTGAAAATTTTTATAAATAAATAAATAAGTAAATAAAAAAATAAAATTCTCTGATTCACATTTTATTTATTTTTTTAGAGTAAATTTTATTAAATTATAAAAGTTTCCATTTCCGCCCCTCTTCCCAACACCCTCAAACTCCCCCCACTCACTCTCCTCCTCCCTCTTCGTCCCTTAGGGCAGTCAGGGTTTCCTGCCCTGTGGGAAGTTCAAGTTCCTCCCCACTCACTCCAGGTCCAGGCAGGTGAGTATCCAAACAGACTGGATCCCCAAAATCCAGTATATGCAGAGGAAAGAAGACCCAGTATCATAGTCAATGGCTTTTCAGAAAGACTTCGGGCCAGCCACATTCAGAGAATTCAGCCAAATTCCGAGAATCTGGTTAGATCACGTCCTCGTTAAGTCCCAGTCCAACTGGCCTTGGTAAACTCTCATTTGATCCATTCCCTTGTATCAGTGGGTGATAGCATCCCTCACAGTCCTGATTTTCTTTTTCATGTTCTTCCTCCTTCTGCTCCTCATTTGGACCTTGGGGGGCTCAGTCCAGTGCTCCAATGTGGGTCTCCGTCTTTATCGCCGTCCTTCGCCAGATGAAGGATCTATGGTGATAAGCAAAATATACATCAGTATGGTTATGGGCCATGGTCGGTTCAGGCACCCTCTCCTCTGTCCAGAGAACAATCTGGGGATCTCTCCTTGGACCTGGGATCCCATATATAATCAAGTCTCCTGTAAACCCTAAAATGACTCCCTTATTTGAAATATATTCTTCCCTGATCCCATATTCATCCTTCCTCACTCTCCTCCCAGGCCACCGAGCTTTCCCCATTCCTCCCCTACTCCCTTCTCTCTAACCCTCTCCCCTTCCAACAACCCTCCCAACACCCCACCATGCACCCGAGGTTACCTGGGACTCTTGTCTATTTCCTACCTCCTGGCAGGTAGCTAAATAATCTTCATCAGGTTTATCTTCTTATTTAGTTTCTCTAGGATCATGAATAATAGGCTCAAAGACCTTTAATTATGGTTAGAATCCACTTATGAGTGAATACATACCGTGTTCCTCTTTTTGGGTCTGGCTTACCTCACTCAGTAAAGCGTTTTCTATTTCCATCCATTTGCATGCAAAATTCAAGATGTCATTGTTTTTTACCGCTGAGTAAAACTTTAATGTGTATATGTTCCACACCTTTTTTAACCATTCTTCTATTGAGAGGCACCTAGGCTGTTTCCAGGTTCTGGCTATTACAAATAGTGCTGCTATGAACATAGTAGAACAAATGCTTTTGTAGTATGTTAGGGAATCTCTAGGGTATATTCCCAAGAGTGGAATTGCTGGGTCCTGAGGGAGGTTGACTCCCAGTTTCCTGAGAAACCGCCACACTGATTTCCACAGTGGCTGCACAAGTTTGCATTCCCACCAACAATGGATGAGTGTTCCCCTCACCCAACATCCTTCCCAGCATAGGCTATCATTGGTGTTTTTGACTTTAGCTATTCTGACAGGTGTAAGATGGTATCTCAAAGTGGTTTTGATTTGCATTTCCCTGATCGCTAAGGAGGTTGAGTATGACCTTAAGTGCCTTTTGGCCATTCGGAGTT